TATATATATATATATATATCGATGACACGGCTCTGCATGCTCGTCCGCACATTCAAAACCCTTCTAGCCTATTAGGACAAGGTTGTTGATGAAACTCTAAACCTTTGACCGCAGAACATGTTGCTTGTCTGCAGCTCTGGTACTAGAAATCCTCACCACTTTTCATTGAAGCAAATCTTGTTGATAGGCAAGTTAGTCTGTATATCTGTATGTGTTCATAATAACATCAGCTGACAACTGAACACAATTTAGGGAAGGAGATGAAATCACTAGTCTACGCACTAGTCACTACTACGCAGGATTCGTCTGATAAGACGGTCATCGATCTGTAGAAGAAGGGGCAGCGACCGAAATCAGGACACACCCATCTTCAAGTTCGAATTCACAATTATAACATCACGCACTGTGATGCACCAGTGGGTATTGGGTTGTTTTCTTATCAGGTGGATAATGCACCGCAAGCAGACATTCCTCCCCCTATATTTCTACCTAATTTAGACCATCGCTGCTAGGATAACGTCTTAAAAGGCAATGGATATGATTCGAACGCAAAAGCCCTACACCTCCCAGTAAGCATTATAATTGACTTTCCTGTTATTCTCTAGAACTTTAAGTACAACCTGTGAGAACTGCTATCCGAAGTAGATGCGCTCTACTTTAAGCTAAGTTCGGGGTAGCTCAGTGGTCAAGGTACAAACTTCCTGATGGAAGGTCTGTTGTTCGAATTCTACCGCGCAATCTTGACTACTCCTGTCTAGGCTTGGGCAACCGAACATCATTTCGGTCCTCATGCTTACCTCTAGTGGCATGGTAGTTAGGCACAGAAAGTTGTTACAGCTGAACGATAATTTATTTATTGATTAACTGAAATTGGATGGAATAGAAAATGCAGCTGGAGGCAGCCAATCTGTTTCGGATAGCAGGTTTAGTCAACTTCGTAATGCTTCTTGTGTTTTCCGATTTCTCTGATCATCATCATCATCAAAGACAGCAACATCTGTGTTGCCACTGATGCTTCACTGCTGTACAACCATAAGGTTTGTCTAGTTATATATATATCACATCAGACCCGGCCTTCGGTCACCGCAGAACAACCATAGGTAGGAGCATTTTCAATACCTTCTCGAGTAACAACATCAAATGCCACAACTTGTTGAAACTGGCCTAGGTAGCGCACCGTTCTATGCTACACTTTCATTGCCCCTTACATTACACCCTAGAGCTTAAAATTGCACGATTGTATTGGTACCCTCCCTATTCTGATCTTGCTACAGGGTTAATTAATCTTTTATTGACCAGTTATACCAATCAGTGATAACAGAATCAACTTATTCTCATCTTATTTTAGAAGGAACTTAAAATAAGTAAACTTCTGTTTCTGGTGAAGTCAAAAAAGTGGGCCAACGTTGTTACAAACACAATATCGTCGGTGGACTTGCCCTGTGCGGTTTCCTGAAATATTTGGCCGGTGTATTTCTCCCGTCACTTGTTTTGTTCTTCAAGCGCTGCATTACAGAAAGCTAAGTTGGGTAGCTGGGGGTTTTCTATTGCCGCTATCAGTAGTGTGAATTCCTCTACACTAGCCAGTGCTGCGATACGTGTCATGCCTCTATGTCATTTGGGAGTCTTTGTATAAAGCGCCGATTTTCCTGAGCATCCCTGGGGATGGAAATCAACCTGTCGGTGGCGATTTTATTGCACTAACCGCCTGCTAAAGATAGAGGCCTGACTCACACCTTTGGGAAAGGACCTTGGCACGAAAAGTCGCTGACCTCTTTCAGTTGTGCTAGACAAGGAACAATTGTGCGATTATACCAACAAGCTTTCTGTGGGCGATTTTATTGTGCGAAAATTTCACCACACGCACTGTGTACCAAAATTTCTCACAATGTCTGTTAATTATTTCGTCCTTGAAGGTTTCTCGGGAAATTTGCGGGAGTATGACCTGTTGCGTCATCAGAAACATTGGGTAGGATTTCCTTCCAACGGGTTTCTGGTAGCCCCAGATATTGGTTTCTCACCCTAGTGCTGTGTTGTACAGACACCTACAATCCAAGCAACCATATCATAATTTGTGACTTTCTAAGGGTGGTTTAGCTTCGCAGGGAAGTACAAGACAACGTGGGCTGAAAGATTGACTGGATTAGATAAGAGCTCATCAGCCATCAAGTTGCCCGTTTTTCGCCAGTACCGCATATATCTCGGCGTCTATTTTTGCACCATGTGTTACTACCTCTGATCTGTGAACTGATTCACCTGATCGGTGAGCGAAATGTCGTGGTTGGAGTTCTTGCAGTTCACTCCATATTTATATTGTTTAGCATAGGGTTGTGCTCTAAGAGACAAATCAGTATACCCGAGTGACGGCCCCCATTTCAAGCAAGAAGCTGTTGTGCCAATCAGATTCGATATCCATCGAGCCCAAAAAAATGACGATCTAAAAATAACATACGAAAATTTAGAAACGGGGCTTGAAGAAAAATCAGGAAGAAGGGAAGGAAGGAGAGTTTGGTGCGCACAGTCTGGAAAAGAGATAACGGAATTTCACAATTTGGTTGCATGGTTGAAAGGCTGGCTGACGAATCCACTTATAGGCGGAGTCCACCAGTCTTCTCCGTAGAATTTGGTCACATGCGATCCTTGTCAGGCACAGCTTTAGCTCCTGTGTAACCAAAAAGTACCAAACAATCAGTTATGAAAGAATTCCAAAGTACAGTTTATAGTGTCGCAGTTAAATAAGCAATAGTCAAATTGGGGTCCTGCTCAATTGGCTCATATCTTTTTACTATAGGCATCCAATTTTGATAATGAAGGAGGATTTATCTGTTATCACGTGCCTTCGAGCAGGTTGTCCATCTAATTAATATATACCCCCTTTGAAGTGCCCTTAAACCTACCAAAATACAGTATCAATGTCTCTTCTGGCCAGGTGATGACCCCTCTGGATAATGGGACGACGAATGAATATTTGTTTTAAGCAAACTACATCACCTAGGTTGCCCACATTTGCAACGCATAAATACAGTCAGACAAAAGCGACTGAACTCAAAACGGCGGTGTCAATGAAGGAGAAGCAGTCATCGGTAAACTGGTTGTCCAAAAGAATGACCCCTGGTGAAACGGCATCGAACTTACGGAGAAATGAAACCGTTCACTGTGGCACAGGATCTGCTTCACATACTGTGTAAAGAAAGTGCTTCACATAAGGACCGATTAGTTGTTAACACAACTATACTGTTCAAGTTGACCAGCCCGGTGATCACAGCCGACTGTATCGTTGTGATTTGTCGGTGTTTAAACTTGCTAACTTGCTGTGGCTTGCAGAAATTGTTGAGTTCTTGTTGTTTGTTGCGACATGTACGTGTCCTACCAAGTAATCGGATGCATTTCACGAACCCACTTTGAATGAGACGCAGCAAGCTAGTCTCGTCACACCAGACTAGTGGTGCTTGCGTGCAGAAACCAATTACCAGAACAGCAAAATATTTTATTAGCTTGTGTAGCGAGTCCCATACATGGTCTCCTATTGATGAGAAATGGTTGCAGGGGACATAAGCAGAAACAGCGTTGAGTTCCCTGTCGTCAATTTTGTCCAAAATATAGATTCACATACTCTGTCTGGGTAATCCACCCACACCAGAGTAAATGTCTCTCGACTGACTCAACCATGGGTAAAGTGTCTGTTGTCCAATACGTGTGTCCACATGACTGCATGTTCTACATTTTACCCATAGTGGGGTCGCAAGAATCGAAGAAGGGTTTCGATTACATACTGGCTGAAGTTCACAGGTAGGTAGTAGGCAAATTTGAGAGTCAAATTTTCATTCGTTCGAGCCTCGGATGCAGAATCGATCACATGTTCTGTTTCGTGTATATACTAAATATATGGTAAACGAAAACTCCAACTCCGGAAGTGATTAATGAAACTCGTTCACACCATTCGATGCTTTGTGGGAAGTAAGCAATATTAGGAAGACTCAGATGTGACCCGTCTAATGAGACAAATGAGATAGGAGTTAGTGGGAGAGTGGCCTACAAGTACAAGTGTAGACAATTTGTGGTGAGAATTATTTTGGAGTTTGTTTTCGGGTTTCAGCGAAATACGTCAGAAGCAAATAGACTGGACTCGAATGTAAGTAGTCTCTCGTGAACATCATCATCGAAAGCGTGACATCAGTGTTCAACGCGGATGCTACGCTGCGGTACAACCATCATTTATCTTAAAGCCTTATTGTGAAGAAAAGAATGAATCTGGATGGGAAGGGATCTAGTGCTAGCTTACTACAGTCATTCCGAGTGTTCAACGCGCTACGCTGCGGCACAACCATCATTTATCTTAAAGCCTTATTGTGAAGAAAAGAATGAATCTGGATGGGAAGGGATCTAGCTAGTGCTTACTACAGTCATTCCGAGATGCATACACCTGCATACACTCACTCAATCAACTGGATAGAAACTGCCAGCAAGAACGTCACTGACACTGGTATAGCTTGCAGCATGTCCAAACAGGCACAATGGGGGCCACGCGGTCCCCATACTGGAACACAAGTATTCACGACAGCTCCCAAGCGGTCGTAATCTCCTTCATACCCCTCTTCCATGTCAAGGGCCGGCCACCCCTCTGCTTCCGTCACTCTGAGTTGAGTATGGAAAACAGCATTCTTTGACAAACGATGGCTAGACATACGAAACATATGTTTCAACCAACGCAGCTTCTGGTGCTGGAAACGCCCTTCAACGGAAGTACCCGCTGCGCAACCGAAATCCCGCTTTCTAAATGCCTCGTTACTGATTCGCCCACATCAACCCACATGAGCTATGGTTCTGAGACAACGATTGTGGAGGTATCTCAATTCCGCTGATCGAACAGGCCAAGTCTCACAGACATACGACAAAACAACCTGCACTGCAGCTTGATACACACGTCCATTGAAGTTCAGGGATACACCAAATTGACGCCATAGGTATTTCAAATTAGCATCCGCGATCCGGGCCTTACAGATTCATGCATTGACCTCATGTGTCACGTTGAAAACAGAACTCATACAACTTCCGAGATACGTAGAAAGCTCCACAAGTTCCAGTGCCTTTCCCTGGGTTGTAAGTGGCGTGTTCAGTGACTGGAGGTCCAGGGCGTGCGTGACCTTACATTTCGTGGGTGCAAAGAGCATCCCAAAAGACGGGATGACTTTGGTCAGTTCATCCAAAAACAGCTGAGCCTTATCCTCCTCTTCGAAGACGAGAACCATTTGGTTAGCATATTCCAGATTGATATGGTTTTCCTCACAGGCTGTTTGAACGCCCGGTTTGTGGAGACCTTCCAACGTTCGTCTCATGATTTCATCGGTCACGAAGTCAAATAGAAAAGGAGAGAGTGGGCATCTCTGACGGACATCGCTTTGTGTACGGAAGCTTTTGGAGAGCTCGCCGTATACTCTCACCCGTTGTAAAGTCTGAGAATACAAAGAGCTTATCATGTTCATGGGACATTCCTTGATGGGCAAGCGTGTCAAGCAGAACAGACCGGTCAACCGACTCGAATGCGTCTTAAAAATCCAGGACTACTGGAATATTGAGTTGCTTATACGTATGGCGTTGTTCTGGCACCTGACAGAGTGTGAAGATTTGGTCAACGCAACCGCTACCAGGCCGGAATACCGTTTGCTGCTCTTGAGTCAATGTTTCACGAGCCACTCTAAGGCGACGAAGCACCAGTGACGCCAACAGTCTCGTTACGACCGGGGTCGAAAATGAACAAACACTATTACCGACTCCCCTGGTTGTCTGGGACAGACACCTTTTCCCAAATGCAAGCAAACAGATCAGACAAACTGTGACTGAGTACTTCACATCCATCTTTGAACAATGCGGTTGAGAGGTCATCCGAACCGGAGGCTCCGTGGCCCTTGTGAGAACATATGCAATCATAAACCTCCGAGGCCACCTGTGGTTCCACGTTCACTGTCCGGGGTCCTACGTCAGCTGTAGGCTCCCGATGCCATGTAGCGGCCATAAGAATTCTTGTTTGAAGTGCTCAGCCCACAGGTCGAAGGGTTCTCCTTCATTCGACATGTTCACTCCATTCCGATCCTTGGTGGTTTGCAGGGACCGGTCGCTCGGATCAACTGAAGTAATCTCTGGGCACTACCGGCTTGCTGCACCTCTTCCGTTACTTTGGCTTTCTTTGTCCACTACACTTCATGGTCGTCATGCACGTTCACTTTCTCGTGAACATCAATCATTCTATGAACTGTTCAACTTTTCACCCTCTATTCTGTTTCTGTGCCCAGCTTTTAATGCTGAACGACATTCAAACCGTGTCTGTACGAATTGATGTGAGCTATTTGCTTATTTCCTGGAGATGTTCGCTTCCTGAGGACAACGGTATTGCAAATCTACTTTACTTACTTTGCATTCGAAATATTCTACTCAGCAGTAGTTTAGCACATCAAAACGTTCTTCCGAATCAGATAAATTGGTCTTTCTGTGAAGTTTCTTCTGTGTGTTCAGCTTGATGGACTGGTGCGCTAATCGTGTAGAAGCATTAGATTCTTACTTTTGTGTTACACGACCTTTGGAACGGATATGGCTGCAACGGCAATTTTGGTTAATTCCAGGTGTCACGTTTTCAATTGGTAGTGTACGCCTGCAGCCAAAGAAGAGCTAAAGGACCATGAACCTAAGAGGGCACGTAGTTTTGTGAGGTCTCTGGATGCCGACATATTGATGGAATCCGGTTGTTTTTACAGTCTTACAACTGTTGCAGTTTGAAACTCGCGAAACAACAATGTCTCGTCAGGCATCGTACTAGTACTTCCTCGTGATACATTCATAAATCAACTGAGCAAGCATTTCTAAAAAAAAGTCTAAATCAGCCGCATACACTCACTCAATCAACTGGATAGAAACTGCCAGCAAGAACGTCACTGACACTGGTATAGCTTGCAGCATGTCCAAACAGGCACAATGGGGGCCACGCGGTCCCCATACTGGAACACAAGTAGTCACGACAGCACCCAAGCGGTCGTAATCTCCTTCATACCCCTCTTCCATGTCAAGGGCCGGCCACCCCTCTGCTTCCGTCACTCTGAGTTGAGTATGGAAAACAGCATTCTTTGGCAAACGATGGCTAGACATACGAAACATATGTTTCAACCAACGCAGCTTCTGGTGCTGGAAACGCCCTTCAACGGAAGTACCCGCTGCGCAACCGAAATCCCGCTTTCTAAATGCCTCGTTACTGATTCGCCCACATCAACCCACATGAGCTATGGTTCTGAGACAACGATTGTGGAGGTATCTCAATTCCGCTGATCGAACAGGCCAAGTCTCACAGACATACGACAAAACAACCTGCACTGCAGCTTGATACACACGTCCATTGAAGTTCAGGGATACACCAAATTGACGCCATAGGTATTTCAAATTAGCATCCGCGATCCGGGCCTTACAGATTCATGCATTGACCTCATGTGTCACGTTGAAAACAGAACTCATACAACTTCCGAGATACGTAGAAAGCTCCACAAGTTCCAGTGCCTTTCCCTGGGTTGTAAGTGGCGTGTTCAGTGACTGGAGGTCCAGGGCGTGCGTGACCTTACATTTCGTGGGTGCAAAGAGCATCCCAAAAGACGGGATGACTTTGGTCAGTTCATCCAAAAACAGCTGAGCCTTATCCTCCTCTTCGAAGACGAGAACCATTTGGTTAGCATATTCCAGATTGATATGGTTTTCCTCACAGGCTGTTTGAACGCCCGGTTTGTGGAGACCTTCCAACGTTCGTCTCATGATTTCATCGGTCACGAAGTCAAATAGAAAAGGAGAGAGTGGGCATCTCTGACGGACATCGCTTTGTGTACGGAAGCTTTTGGAGAGCTCGCCGTATACTCTCACCCGTTGTAAAGTCTGAGAATACAAAGAGCTTATCATGTTCATGGGACATTCCTTGATGGGCAAGCGTGTCAAGCAGAACAGACCGGTCAACCGACTCGAATGCGTCTTAAAAATCCAGGACTACTGGAATATTGAGTTGCTTATACGTATGGCGTTGTTCTGGCACCTGACAGAGTGTGAAGATTTGGTCAACGCAACCGCTACCAGGCCGGAATACCGTTTGCTGCTCTTGAGTCAATGTTTCACGAGCCACTCTAAGGCGACGAAGCACCAGTGACGCCAACAGTCTCGTTACGACCGGGGTCGAAAATGAACAAACACTATTACCGACTCCCCTGGTTGTCTGGGACAGACACCTTTTCCCAAATGCAAGCAAACAGATCAGACAAACTGTGACTGAGTACTTCACATCCATCTTTGAACAATGCGGTTGAGAGGTCATCCGAACCGGAGGCTCCGTGGCCCTTGTGAGAACATATGCAATCATAAACCTCCGAGGCCACCTGTGGTTCCACGTTCACTGTCCGGGGTCCTACGTCAGCTGTAGGCTCCCGATGCCATGTAGCGGCCATAAGAATTGTTGTTTGAAGTGCTCAGCCCACAGGTCGAAGGGTTCTCCTTCATTCGACATGTTCACTCCATTCCGATCCTTGGTGGTTTGCAGGGACCGGTCGCTCGGATCAACTGAAGTAATCTCTGGGCACTACCGGCTTGCTGCACCTCTTCCGTTACTTTGGCTTTCTTTGTCCACTACACTTCATGGTCGTCATGCACGTTCACTTTCTCGTGAACATCAATCATTCTATGAACTGTTCAACTTTTCACCCTCTATTCTGTTTCTGTGCCCAGCTTTTAATGCTGAACGACATTCAAACCGTGTCTGTACGAATTGATGTGAGCTATTTGCTTATTTCCTGGAGATGTTCGCTTCCTGAGGACAACGGTATTGCAAATCTACTTTACTTACTTTGCATTCGAAATATTCTACTCAGCAGTAGTTTAGCACATCAAAACGTTCTTCCGAATCAGATAAATTGGTCTTTCTGTGAAGTTTCTTCTGTGTGTTCAGCTTGATGGACTGGTGCGCTAATCGTGTAGAAGCATTAGATTCTTACTTTTGTGTTACACGACCTTTGGAACGGATATGGCTGCAACGGCAATTTTGGTTAATTCCAGGTGTCACGTTTTCAATTGGTAGTGTACGCCTGCAGCCAAAGAAGAGCTAAAGGACCATGAACCTAAGAGGGCACGTAGTTTTGTGAGGTCTCTGGATGCCGACATATTGATGGAATCCGGTTGTTTTTACAGTCTTACAACTGTTGCAGTTTGAAACTCGCGAAACAACAATGTCTCGTCAGGCATCGTACTAGTACTTCCT